CCTAAATTTTCCTTGAGAAACTGTATAGTTCTAGGTTTCACATTTAAGTCTTTGATCCATCTGGAGTTTGTTTTTGTGTGCGGTGTGAGGTCTGATGCCTGATTATTTTTAATTAGATTTCAGATGTTATAAATTTACCCTTGTTGGTTATTAGAAATTTTTGTGTTTTCATAAATATTCTTAAGCTTTTTTCCTGAGATATAGTTAAAATTACTTAAAAATACTTTGATCATTTCACGTCTTTGGTGTAAGAATTGTTACAGAGAACCCAAGCAGTATTTTGTCTAGGGCTAATTTCCCTACTACTGAGATCAAATGGTTCAGAGTGTTCTACCCAAGACCTCATCCATTATGAGAGTTTTGAGTCTACGTGGTAGGATCAGGAACTATTCCAACTCTGTGTGAACACCAGATACTATTTCTTCCAATACTTTTAGAGGGTTCTTTCCCCAGCTGGTAGTTGCCTTACGTGCATGTGCTAATCAGTGCTGAATTTTCTAATAGTACCACTGTAGATATCCATAGCTATGTCTCATTCAACTTCTCCTCTCCAGTCCTCTGTCAGGTGAACTCTTAACTGTGTTGATCTTCTTACATTAACAGCTCCATCTGCTCAATTAAGGGGATTTAATAGTAGGCCCCATCTGGAGTCCCCTTGTCTACACTACCTCAGAGAGACTAGCAGGGCAGTGAGTTGGGCCAAACAAAGGCTCTTACAATTTCTTTCTTTTCTTTCAGATATCATTTTTCTTTGTTGCCTGATTTCAGTTTCATTAAACCATTGTTTTTTCATATATTTTGTCTGGATTTTTAGTTGTCTTAGACAGGCTGGTAAATCAGACCTCTGTTCTTTCTTTTGGCCAGAAAAGAGTAGCCCTAAATTTCTTTTGCATAGTGAAAATGGTAAGAGAAGATTTTATTCCCTAAGTATTCAGAAAAGGGTCTGCTCATGAAGATTGACAGTTTTTTGAGAGATTTGGAAAGAATAGGCTTCATTAGTATACTCTTTTACATTGGCTTCTCCAATACTTTACATTTTTCTACAGTTGGATTAGATTATTATATATAATAAGGTAATACAAGTCACTGGTCCAGTTATGATTTACTGGAATTAGATTGGATTTAGTATTTAAAGGAGATGTGCTGAAAAGATTATACGCCATTTTTACATACCTGTTTTGCTTTTGGTAGTCTCCTGTGAATGTAAATATAAAGTGAAAAGAGAACCTGTACATAATCTTCCTGTTGTCTGAATTTTTACATTACTAGAGTTTGTTCTGCAATTTACTAATCTGACATCTCTATCTTGTGGCATATTGCTGCCAAAATAAATCCTAAGAGGTAGTAGTTTTACTCTTTTCAAAATATTCCAGAAAGCAGCCAACCATTTCAGAAAGAGATTAAAAAGTAAGCTTTGAAAACTATTATTCGGAAATGCCTCATTTGTGAATGTATATACATTTTAGCTCATAAATTGGGTAATTGTGTGCTAACTCCTTTGTATTGGTCATTACTCATTTTGTATGTACACAGATTAAGGCTTTTCATTCATATTCTTCTGCCTAGGACACTCATGATTGAAAGATGATTATTTTCATACTCTTTTTCAATATTAATGCTTAACATTTCACATGAAATTATAGAATGCATCAGTTTACTTTATAGTAGCTATAAGAAAGCCTTCTTTATTAAACATAATGTTCTGAAGTAGTGAAATTAATAGTTATTTGGTTTCATGAGTTACTTAAACAATGTTAGAAAAGGTATATAAAAAAAAAACCTACTGATTCGCAAAGACTCTGCATCCAAGAACATAAATTGACATATGATGTTAATTCTATAAACTACAATTTTAAAATTAAGTTCCTTAAACTGATTACAATGGTAATAATAGATATCTTAAATATTTTAGATTACATTTCTTTGCTAACATGATAAATTGCCTTGATAAAACTGCCAGACACTAAGCTAAGTAATTTTATGGACATTTCTCATTTAAATAGACTTTTCCAAGAAAATCTAGGCATTATTTAATCTTCGAAATAATTTTTCAAAAAGATAAACATATACACACACAAGCATGTATTTATGTATATATGTATATAAATGTATATATGTTCGTGTGTGTATACATTAGTTTCCCGTTATTGCTGTCACAAATTACCACAAGCTAAGTGGGTTTAGGGAAGTCTGGTGGCATAGTGCTTAAGGCATTTGACTGCTAACCAGAAGGCTGGTGGGTCAAACCCACCAGCCACTCCTCAGAAGGAAGGTTGGACAATCTACTTCTTCAGTGATACCACCTCGGAAAGCCAAGGAGGGGTCGCTATGAGTCAGATCCAACTTGACGGCAGTGGGTTTAAACAGTAGACATTTATTTTCTTAAACTCTAGAATTCTGGAGGCCAGAAGTTGTAAATAAGTTTTACTGGACCCAAACCAAAGTATGCACAGGGCTGCCTTCCCTCAGGAAGCTCTACTGGAGACTCCATATCCCAGCCTTTATCCAGTTTTTAAGATGTATTCCTTTTTTTATCTTCAAAGCCAACAAAATTGCCATGTAGCCTTCTCTACTGTGTAAAATCTTCTGCCTCCCTCTTGTAAGGACACTTGTAATTACAATTATGGCTCACTCCTATAATTTTGGATAATCTCCCCATTTCAAGATCCTCAACTTAATCACATCTGCAAATTTTCTTTTGCCATATGGTCAAAATAGGGAACAGAATATTGTCAGAAGTCACATAAAAACAAAACATGTTAGAAATAAATACAGTCCAGAAAGAAGTACAGATAACTTGATAATACAAGCAAAAGATCCTAGAGTTCTTCTGCTGTATTCCAGTATTTTTAATTGTTGACTTATATTTTTGCTGCTGCTAAGAACAAGCAGAATGTTAATCTTCAAATTCATTTCTAATGTATTTCATCTTTTTCATACTTCTTTGCCTTCCCTTTCTCTATAAAGTCAATACTTTATAGTATAAGGTCATGAATATATGAACTGGAGCGTAGGTTTATATAGTTTTATATTACACTTAATTTAGAAGCAATTTGTATTTGATTTTGATGTTCATAGACTCATGTTCAGATATATGCCTCTTTATTTCCTTTAAGCCATTTCTTCCCCCTCTCCTTCACCTTTGTTATTCTCAATGCTAGTGAAGAATTGAACATTAGTTCTTAAGAGACAGCTCTTAAGGTCCTTCAGTTGTTAGAAGGTCATAGATCTCTGAGCTAAATTATTCTTTCCTGTTTTTATTTTTTTGTCAGTATCATTGTAATGTTAACACTTTATCTTATTCCTTTGAAGAGGAAATTTCATTTAATGCTTCTATTATGCTGAATGGTTCAGTGAACTGCAGAATTACCAATAAATAATTTTTAGCAAAAGAAGCATATATTTTGTTGCATTACTCATAAACTAAACATTTACATTTTCTTCTGTGAACTGTAGGATACCAGAAGGTCCCATTGATCAGGGGCCAGCTGCAGGAAGGGTCCGTGCTTTAGAAGCGCAACTTGTAAAGGCCAAAGAACAGATCGAAAATTACAAGAAACAAACCAGAAATGGTAGGTTATGATGCATTGTTTTCCTGTTTCAAAATATTGGTGTTATGCACAAATAATTGAAAATTTCCTTTAAAATACTGGAAATGCTAAAACTACTTTTTAATTGTAGGTTTGGGGAAGGATCATGAAGTCTTGAGGAGGAGGATTGAAAATGGAGCTAAAGAGCTCTGGTTTTTCCTACAGAGTGAATTGAAGAAATTAAAGAATTTAGAAGGAAATGAACTCCAAAGACATACAGATGAATTTCTATCAGATTTGGGACATCATGAAAGGTACAATTTTCCCTACAGATTTGGGTTTTAGTAAAGATCATAATCTGAGAATGGGAAACTGAAATTCTTGCTAATTTCCCAATTGAATGGTAAAAGATACCCACCATGTTTAGGACATGAGTACCATAAATCTCAAGAAGTAGTCCGAATGCAGTTCATCAGCTAGAATATATCACAGGAAAATATTATTTAAATATCTTTCTGGATGTTTTATAATACATGTAGACTCTGAAGTAAGCCAACAATATTCTAAAATATTTTTATAAATTTCCTTTGTATACAATCAATATTTGAAATGGAGAGTGAAATTTTGCTTGCATTACACTGAAACTTATGTGGGGATGGAAGTTATGTTTCTAATTCAAACATTAAAAACTAAAATAGCAATTTTTTAGAGTTGCTTACTAAAGGTTAAAAGTTTTTATTTAAAAAAAAAAAATTATACTGTCAATTGTTCTTCCATTTAGTTTCTAAAAAGGGGAACCTGGATCTGCCAAGTTAAATTTGTTTCTCTTTGTACACATTTCTAAAACTATACAGTTTATCTTCCATGGAAAAATAACATCTTGGTACTGGTGTGTTCATGCAGAACAAAATGTATCTGAGAATCACTATAAATACAGTAAAACCTGTCCTTAGGTCTATTATATTAAAAAGCTATGTTCCCAGTAGGATTCTGATGGCAATTATTGTCTCATTAGTGAACAATAAAAGAAAAATTGTTGTATTAGCATAATCTACCACTGTGAAGAGAAAAAGAATTATCCCATGCAGCCAAGAGATTCATATATATTAACATCACTGGCTTTATTATAAGCATTTTGAAAAATTATTCTACTGTTTTAAGGTAATTTACAGATAAAAAACTATCAGTTTATTGAAATCATTATAGCATTAATGAATCTACAGAACTAAGTTAGCATGAATTTCAAGAGGCATTGAGTTACTAGGCCATATATTAGGTAGCCTCTTTGAAATTTTTAGTCCAGTTTACAATAAGGCCATACTTAGACTATTAGACCAAATTCTGACTAATTCTGTACTTAATACTTCTCCATATCATCCTAACACTGATTCGAGGCACTGGGCTTCTGTTAATTGAAGCTCTGTGCTTTGCTTATCGTAGTTTTGTAGGGAAATGCAGATCTGAAAAGGATTTGAGTTGGGTAGGTTCAATTTTAAGGTTTGCGGGATTTAATTACTTGAGAATTTAATTTTCAGGTCTTTTCTAAATTAAAAGAATTCTATAAGGAATTATTTTATGAATATAATTTATAGATATATTTGGTGGATCTATGGACAAATGGAAAATGAAAACAATAGATGGGGCCCTTGAAAAGTTAGTTGCTGTAAATCAGTGTTACCTTTTGGTAAATTAAATTTGGTTTTAGATGTATTAGGATTCCTAGTACTGCATTTAATATATGTTAAATAGTAGTACTTCACTGTAAACAAAAAGGAAAGTTAAAGCTACCCAAGTCAGCTATCTTAAGCAGAATTATAATGAACTTGTGATACAACTTTGTAAGGTAGTAATATAACTCCAGGCCAAAATGAGCAATATATAGCCAAGCATTAGAGAAATAACTTTTAAAGTAATGAATGATGTAGAAATAGATTTTGTATGTATATAGACTATACCCTCTTTCTGGCCATTTTCAAAATACTTAAAGAGTGGGAATAAAAATTAAACCAGACTTCTGAACTAAAAATATCTGTCACTGATATGATTTTATATTTGTCTCTAGTGGGTTTTACATGACATAAATTCCTCATTTATTTTCATATTTACCCAACTTATAGTGTATAAGTTGTCTATGTACTAAAAGCCTATGCTCCCTGAGAAATCAGATATTGAGTCCGTTGGATTTCTTGTTCACATTGTTGTATAAACTGCGTTTATCATTTTTTTGGTCCAAAGAGACATCCATTATAAGGAAATACGTGCTGGGCATTTTGTTTCTTCAGAAGGCTTTTTTTCATTTTTAGGACTGGGTACAGATGGAAACACTGATCCTCTTCCCACTTCTGGCCCTTGTAAATCAACTTTATTGTGGCATAATTTACAAGCAATAAAATGTATACTTTTTGATACATAGTATTTTTAATTTATGACAAATACTCAGTTTTATAATCACCACCATTGTCAAGATACAGAAAATTTCTGTTGTTCCAAAAGTTCCCTTACAGCCCTTTGTAGTCAGTACTTTTCCCCATTCCCAGCTTCTAGGCAATCATTGATTTGTGTAGTGTCCTGCAAAGGAGTTGGAGGGAATAGCTAAAAAAAAAATAGTTTTCATAACTAGAGGTCATTGTCTCTTGTGTAGTAATTAGGCTTTTCTCTCTTTTTAATTGTAATCTTCTGAGGATGGGATTTCTCTGGGCATCTCTACTCCACACTGCTAAATGTTGTGTGCCAACCGGTTAATTCCAACTCAGAGTGACTCTATAAGACAGAGTGGAGCTGCCCCATAGGGTTTCCTAGGCTGAAATCTTCACAGAAGCAGATAGCTACATCTTTCTCCCATGGAGTAGTTGGTTGGTTCAAACCACTGACCTTTCAGTTAGCAGCTAAGTGCTTAAACATTGTGCCACCAGGGCTCTTTAGTGCACACTATTAGTGCTTAATAAATGATATTTTTTTAATTGGGTGAGGAAGCAGGCAGTCATCTCTAAATGATTATTCCACACTATACTTTGTGCTTCTTTGTAATAATAAAATCTTGTCTCAATTAAAGATTAATAAAAATTGTGCATCTAAAGAAAAATATGTAATTGGGGTCAAAACATTTTCCTAACAATTGAGAATCCCAAAAGGTATGAAGAGTTGTAAACAGTTACAGGAGAAAAGTCATTTATCCTTGAATGAAAGTTAAAGCCCTGGTTAATTTTAACAGTGAGTTCTACAAAAGAGAGGGTATCAGTTAAAGAGAAGTCAAGGGATATATAGAGGAGAAATTGGTGTGGAGATAATCTGAAGAATTATCAAGGTCAAGAATTACCAGGGTCAAGTTGATAGAAAAAGGTACCAGAAGAAAAACTGACATTGAAGGATATTTGCATTTCATGTTTGACTCACTTTGGAGAATTTAAATGATTCCTGTGTCTAAAAGTAGTCTTAAGATAAAGTTGTACATTAATGTTTAAAAAAAAAGTGTTTCTGATTTAGAGTATAATTCTGATGGCTAAGTAATAGAGAATGGATTTTCTTTCAATTGAATGTACATGATAAAAAGTATTGTTGCTTACCAAATATATGTGATCATTTTCTCACATTTCATAGACTGTGCTCATTGGTCTTTCAAGACATCTATAAATGTATTAAAGTTAAAAAATTTTTGCTTCATTATAAATTCTTTAAAGTTGTAAGGGTCAGAGAACCTACTTGGATATTATATCTCCCTTGAGAGGAGAGACTACCACCACCAGTACCAGTTACCATCAAGTTAACTCTGACTCATGGTGACCTCATTTTGTTAAGAGTAAAACTGAGCTTTATAGGGTTTTCTGGAGGTGATTTTTTGGAAGTAGGCTACCAGGCTTTTTTTTTTCTTTTTTCCAAATTGCCTCTGGATGTACTCAGCCTTCCAAATTTTTGGTTAGCGGCTGAGCTGTTAACAGTTTATGTCACCCAGGGACTCCTGAAAGGGAAAACCCACTGGTGTGGAATTGACTCCTAGTGACCCTGTAGGAAAGACTAGAATTGCTCCATAGGGTTTCCAGGGCTGTAAATCTTTACAGAACCAGATGTGAGTATGACGAATGGTTTTCTTTGATGATTGTGAGCTATTGGGATGAGCTGTCTGCTTGCTTTAGAAACAAAGCTGGAACTTAATATTAAAAAAGAAAAAAAGGGCATTCTTAAATGTTTTTATAAGTTTTTATGTTCATCTTTCATTGTCTCATAGGCTTATAATTAAATGTAATGAGTAAAATTGAACATCTTTCATCTTAAATCTTCCAAAGGTTAGTATACCATGTGAAAAGTACCTAAAAGCAGAAATCTTTTTATATATGTTTATCCATGTAGATTAGATTTTTCTTTATCTGTGTGAAAAATATTAATAGTTTATTGCTCTTTGTTACTATGGAAGTCATATTTTAACTAAGTAAATTTTAAGAACAGAACTCTTTTTTTTTTTCTAAACAAATTTCATGGAACCCTAATATAAAAAACAAAATGTTGAAACAATGAGCAAATGATAGGGTATTGCAAATGTCCTTAGTTGTTATACTAAGTAGGAAAGATTTAATTCCCACACATTTGATCCATAAGTCATGGTCATAGTCATATAAAAAGATTTTAAATCCATTACTTAACATCTGATAAATAGAGACCTATCTCACAGCAGTTTCTTTAAAATATATATGAATTAGAAAGTCTGTAGGGAAGCCCAGGAGTATTCTAATTATTAAGGATCATTGTGTATCAGTGTTTTTACAGCAATGGTTTTCAAACTTCACCTTGCATCAGGATTACCTAAGCAGCTTTGATGGTGCAATGGTTAAAGCATTGGATCGCTATGCAAAAGGTCAATAGTTTGAAGCCACCAGCTGTTTCGTAAAGATTTACAGCCTTGGAGATTTACAGCCTACGAGTTGGAATCGACTCAATGGCAGTAGGTTAGAATAACCTAAAGGGTTTCTTAAAACAGATAGCTAAATCACATGCCCAGAGTTTCTGATTTAGTAGATATGGAGTGGGGTCCCAACATTTGCATTTCTAATAAGTTTCCATGTGATGCTGATGATGCTTTTTTGAGAACTAAGGCTTCACAGAATTCCTGGATCTCTTTGTGAGTTTACCACTGACCCCTTGAGTTTCCTGATAAAAAGCACAATACACTATAGGGACATAATCTCATCAGGAAGCTGTGGGGGAACACTCATCTTTGCTCCTCACTTGATGTCTATAGTGTTATGCCAGGGATGCGTACTTCCCCATAGTGTTCCCATGTTTTCTGTTCTGGAAGGTGATTCTCAGTGTCCATTATTCTTTC